AGCAATTTGTATATGGGGTAAAAGGGGGAGTTCATAATCCACGTGAATCAAACTGTGTAATATGATGTATTATGAACTATGTAATGTTATGAACGACCAATAAAAAAAAAAAGAAAACTAATGCATGTAAAGAGAATCTTTTAGTATTTGGAATTGCAGGCTTTGGGATGTCAATCAATTAAGAGCCAAGTTTCCTTGAGGGGGACACATCATACCATCAAGTTTGAACTTGTCATGAAGCCTGGAGTGGTACTTTGAAAAGAAACTGAATTTTATTTTGTGAGGATGGACAGTAGATTGATCACATTTAAACGTAAGCTGCTTAGTGATCTGAGGAGCATTGTTGGTACTCTTTTACACTTAAATGTTCACACAAAAAATACAACATAAAGCCCATCAGCCATTTAAGGGATGTTATTAATGTAACCAGTAGATATGTATTATGTGATGCACATAAATAAACACATGTACCTAAACATATATCTAGAGACAATATGAACATAGAATTATGAGATGAGTTAAAATTTCATCGAGATGGTTTTGCATGATGCTTTAGCTTAGGGGATGTTCAGTGCCCTTGAAATGCCTTTGCGTAGCTAGATCTGTGCAATGATCAAAATACTGTCTTTCCTTTTTCTTTTTTTAGCCACTAGAAAAGCTTAATAGAGTAAAAAAAAAAAAAAATTCTCCAGGGTAACTTTTTCTCCTTGGAGTCCTAGGAAAAGGATGTAAAAAAAAAAAAAAAAGTTTGGAGGGAAAGCATAGCTGCATTGACATACCCCTCATGGGGTTGAAATGTTCTGCATAATAAATGGGCTTGGGCCTAGTTATTCCATCATCAGTTCTTTTGCCTCCATTGCCCTCCTCTGGATCACTGTCTCTCATTTGAACCACTGGCCCAGGAGAAAACATGATCCGTGTTTACAATTTGCTCAAGTTTATGTATTACTGCTGCATGATATATAATTTTACTTTCTGTGTACTTTCTACAAGGCATGACAGTGGGACAGTGGGCAACTTACTTGTGTTTATCTTCTGAAGTGAAATATGCTTTTCCAGTTGTCTCCGAAGTTTCACTTCGGCTCCGTATTTTCCAGTCGTGCCATTGTCAGCCAGGATGAAATGGGAATGCATGCTGTTGAGAACAGTGAGCTTGCTCATGGGATTGGACATGGTTTGGTATGGCCGGACTACCTGCAGGGAATCAAAAGGAAAAGGCAGAAGTTAGAAAGGCAAACAAGATATGAAAAGGAGAACTGGAAAGGGAGAAAAAACATCCATTCTTTGGTACAGTGGAAGTGTAGTCTGCATTCTCAGAATTGCTTCGGGTAGAAGCAAGATTTATGGTAAGAGTTCCATTCAAAGCAAGACTGTGCTTAAAAGCTTTACAGAAATGAGTTTATGCTTTTTTGCTCTAAAAAAATGATTAGCAGATGATTGTTTCATTTTGATCTTTTATTTGTCAATGAACCAAAAATAATCTTTAGTTATCTTGTTTTTCTTCTTGTTAATAATTTAATTAATTCATTGGTACTTTATAATCCTATCCTATATAATGGGTTCATTGCAACATATTCCTACATACACATTCATGTGACTATTTCAATAGTCATAGCAAAATCACAATTCTGAAGCAAGCAGAGGGTCTAGGGATGGAGAAAATATGTTCTTCTCTATCAATCCCATTCAGCAATCTAAAGGCCTGTTATTTAAAATAAACACTGTTCTTAGTAGATACCTTATTTAACTGTGAAATAGCTTGAATATAGAATAACTGCCTCTTGAGACAAATATAGATCGGTCTCCAAATGTTCACCTCTAGCTTATTCTACTTTTTCTTGATTTTTACTTTCATGGTGAATTACAGTAGCTAAAATAGAACAATTTCAGTGTGGTCTCTCAGATTGGGGTATAAAAAGATAATCAACATATATTGTGACCTAGTTGCTTTATGTACATTCTCTTTATTCTTTGCAACAATCCCTGTAAGTTTCATGCTATGTTCATTTTATAGATGAAGAAACTGAAAAATGGACAGATAAATTGGAAATTTACACCCAGATCTGCCTGATTCCAAAATCTGTACTTTTTCCACACTGCTTAGATCCAATGGAAACATAAGGTGATGTGTTGGAAATCCAGTACTAACATATTTGGATAGAAACTTCACTCAAATCTAGGAAAGGGAACATTTAACAGGCTCACTGCTACATGGTCTCAGTACAGCAATCAGCGTACTGAATCATGGAAATTGACAAGACAAATAAATGCTACTGGGTTTTTATTTCTCTGCCTTTGTGCAGTGTATACATTAATTATTGAGTTGAGATGTTCTTGTTCTTTTTCAGTGTGCAATAACTCACCATGAAAAGCTGTAGTAAGATTGAGTAGTTTGTTAAAAGAATTACAAAGTGATTTAGTAAGGGCAGTCTTTGATAGTAAAGATCTCATGTAAGTTATTTTTTAGACCTTTGATACTGATTCAAAATCCCACATTTCTATGTGCCTGGAAAATAAAATGTGCTTAATAAATAGTGAATGAATGGATAAGCAAACTTGAGACAAATGTTTTGTTCAAATCTGAAAAAAATCCTCTTTTCTGAATTATTTGGGAATTGATTTAAATTTAAAATGGATATATAATTCTAAGCTTTTAAAAGCTTCTAATACATGCCCCATTTCTCAACATAGCATTGATATGTTAATTCATAGCTTCATTATAGTTACATCTTATTGATAAAGATTATAACTTTTTAGTTATTGCTTTTAGTGATCACATGGAGCAGTAATCAGTTACTGCTTTGTCTACATAAGTGAATGAGAACCCTTGAAAATGCAGAGGCAGTGGACAGCTACACCCATCCCAAGCTCTCTATCACTGGAAGAGTAGGTCACTTGTGGTTGAAATTTCCATTTTGTTGCTACTCAAGTTTTGATTATAAAACATTCATTCTACAGTAAAGTGCAAGTTAATAAATATTAATGCTTTGTTGAAAAAGGCTTAGAAATTCTTTTTCCTATTCTTAAAGTGCCTCTGCATTGTGCTTTTGGACAAAAGAAAATACTTTTGTTACTGTTCTTTCTTTTCTAACAGTGGTTTCTGAGGACTCCATGTGAAGGAGAGGGAAGATCCAAAGCAGTTCTGTGAGAGGTGGAGCTGACGGATGTTCTAGACGTTAAACTGTGTGTGATTGTGAACCTCAGAAGTTTCTGCTGGCTGAGATACACAGTTTCAAATTCCTGGAAATCCCACTTGAAGACCATTTTGGAGAAAATAAAATTTTCAACTACTGAAAGTATAGAAATGATTCTGTGCCAAGCTGATATATCCATCATAATCTGATAATAAAAGAAGGTAATCAAACCATCTGTGTTCTAAACATCTCTTTCCTCCAATCCTGGATTCTAAAGATATTGGTGGTTTGGTCTTCTGACTTTTGACCCTGTTTTATTGTGAAACATAGCTCAACATCTCTTTGGGAATATTGAACATCTGAATCAGTCATGATAAGAAGGTCAAATTTACAGGGTCTTAATTTTTTCATTGTACTGACCTCCTTTTCTTTTGATTCGGTGTGAAGGCAAGTTTAAGGTCAGAGTTTGCTGAATGAAAGGAGATATAAATCTGAAAACTAAGTAAAATGCCCTAATCTACTTTCAGATCTTACTGGAGAAAGGTGTACTGAGTCCTGGAACAATCCTGCACACATGATCATGGAAATTACTTGAATCCCAGTTCTGCCAGTGACTGTGAGAACTGGAGTCTCACTTTTTTAATCTGTAAAAAGGAAATGATAAAACCACTTACTTCATGAGGATTAGCTGAGATTATACGTGCAAAGTGCCTGGCTCCTAGCAGGCATTCTATAAATGGTACTTCCTTTTCCAGTTCTGCTCTATCTTGCCAACTATAAGCTGAGTTTCCAGTTGTAAACCAGTGATCAAATTGAAATATGAGACAAATCATCGACTTTTGTTTTATCCCAGACATTTAACTTAATGTAAGGAATAAAAAAACCCAACCATCTGTTGGCAAAATATGCAGTATTTTTTTCTTTGTCATATCCTCCAAGTATTTGTTGACTAACTGAAAGTTTAAAATAACTGCTCAAGTACTTCAGAGAAATGCATTTTTGTCTAACTTGCCTGCAAAATCCACTTACTATTCTTTGTTACAAATATGGCAGTAGTTTATTTTTGAGTTGCAATTTGCATATGTACAAAAGATTTGCTGATCTTTCTGTTGTGTTTTGCAAATAGAAAAATAATGCCTTTTTAATAACATGAATACAAATTAACTTTTCCCTCTGACAAAATATTGGAGGTCATGCAAACACTTTCATTGTTAAAAGCTCATAAACAGAGAAGGTTTTTTTGGAAGTATGTGCTATTGAGAATTATTGTGATATGTTCATAACTTGTAGGTATAATGGATTACGTAACATGTTTCTTAGCCAGGACTTTGTCCTAATGCTCTATAACATCTATGGCATGTAATGGATCATCTTTTTTCCTAAGAATATAGGATGGTCCAGCTTATATTCCATCCTTGGAAGAACTGAGAAGATAGCCATTCACATAATTTTCTGTATTTTATAGTTCAGATAAGAAACCGGAGTTAGGCAAGGTCAAATTGTATCTGAAAGGCCTTCAAACCAGGTGAGTGGCGTAAATGATGAATATTATAGTATATATACTTAGAAACATAGTAGTATCTATACCTAGAAATGTAGGATTTTAGACCCTAATAGTCTCTGATCATCATGGGCTAGAGTACCTCTATGTAATGACATTTTTTTCTATTCATTCTTGCTCCTCAAGAGTAACCAAAAAACTTCTTTATTCAACCAATTCCTTGTATAGCATTTAGAATGATAATGATATGATAACAATTCTGGCTTTAAGGCATCTGTCATTATCTTGCCTCTGAAACAAAGAGGACTTGTGAAGTGGGGACTGTCCAAGGGATTAAATGGAGGTAAAAACCATTTTATATAAGGCATTGGTAAGGACACCCTCACTGCTAAGAAGAGAGTGAGTGAGCTGCTGTAGAAAAACTGAACATCCTTCATGTGCTGACACTAGAGTGCTGCAATTGTGTTCCCTGGATGGACATCAGTCAGTCATTCAGGAGCCAGTCTAGAGTTTTCCTACCTGTTTTCAGGAATATTTTGGTCTTACCCAGGAGTGTTTATCAGGAAGTCAGAATATCAGGGTTCTTGTTCCTCTGAGTACTAACTTGTGACCTTGGGCAGGTCTCTGATTCATGCATTTACTCATGATTTCTTGAGAAAAATAATCATGTGTCTAAGTAATATCTTCTAATAAGTATTCAAAATGTTTTTTTTTTAAAGAAACTTTAGGGGCTTTTTTTTTTTTTCATCCGTGAAGCAGAAGACTTGATGGTAATTTCTGATGGCTTCGTACCTCTACAATTGAATCTGAACAGCCTATGTTAAAAAACAATGTACGGGCTCTTTTCTAGTTAGTGCAAAACAAAGTGTGTTGGCAAAGTCGTTCTCTCATGTCCTGAGGTCTTTTCCATTTTGAGGTGCTTTCCTTGATAAAATGGCAATTTGATCACCTGAGGTTCTTTATTCCAAATACAATTGAATTGGGCTTAATTAGGTTTTTGTGCCATCAATCACAAGACTTCTACAATCCCACACCCATTACCTGGTGAGTTGTATATCAACATGCCACAGGCCAAGCAGCAGGATAGGGAATGTACACCTCAAGGAGTCATCTCTTCCCTCCTAATAGCACCATGGTTTTTAACTTAAATCAGAAGAAAATGAACATTCATTGACCATTTTTTTGCATATTAGGCATTGTGGAACAATCTGTTTCGTATTTATTTTGTAGATGGAATTGGGGACTCAGAAGTGAGGTATCCTGGCCAAATTTGCCTCATTAACCCCATATAGGTCCTAAGTTCCTTTATAAGCCATGATGCATTACAGGAGAAGATAGAAAACCCAATCTCATTTGAAATGTCTAGAGGATATTACAGTCAGTTTTGCTGCTGGATATTTTTTATTCGTGGCTCAGCTGCGCCGTGGAATCCTCTGACAGCTGACCAGATTATTTCCAGTTGGGGCATCTAGAACTATATGTATACAGAGGTCAGAAAAGGCACCAGTAGGCAGCAAGGTGGGGTCGTGCTTTGGTATGAGAGAAACAAAATGTTTTGA